TGAAATTAGAACTTATAGTATATTTTTAATATTCAAATATATATTTAATTGATAAAAACTAATACATTTAAAAATTATTATTAGATTTAAATTTATCTAAAAACTATTATTTTAGTTAAGAAAATTTTAAATTTAATTTCAAAAATATACTAATAAGGTATAATTAAAAAATAAGCAAAATAGAGTAAATTAAAAAAAAGTAAAATCAATTTAATTTTATTTTTTAAAACATAATCAGCTCTTACATTTAATTCAAATAAAATATAAAAAAAAATTAAAACATAATCAATTAATTAATATGCAACGTGTTTATAAAATTTAAAACATAATTTCATTTATTTTGTATAATAATGTCATAATTCAATATTGGAATAATTTCATGAAATTCCAGTTTCTTTTAACATCATGGTAAAAAAAATCAGATAATAAAATTCTGATTTCTATTGAAATCTAATAATTATTGAAATCAAATAATTACATTTCATATTAGTTCCTTTCTTTAATTTTTTCATTATCTGTATCCATCTTTTTTTTTTATTGAATGATTATATTGCGTGTTTGTCTTGAAAGATTTCGTGTACCTTATAATGAATTGATGAAGTCAGCATTCCTATTTTATTTTGTAGAAAATTGTGAGTTTTCTTATCTTGAATTAACTTATTTTTTTTATTTTTGTTGAATCATATAAATTTTAAATCTTTTATAATGCTTCGTTTTCTTATATATTTTTAAATATTTATCAATTTAATCATAAGCACTTCCATATTAAAAAGAAAAAAAAAATATACATGCTTTACAATGTTTAAAATTGAAGAAAATATTCATTCTATTTAAATTCTTGGAGAAATAAGACCGAATCTTTGCTATCAGTAGATACATAAAGCCAAATTTTCTCCTTTGTTTACCAACTGAGCATACACTAATCACAATTAACATCTAATTAACACAACTTCATCATAATCAACAACATATCATATACATATTAACCATACACTTCGTATAAATACAGGTTATTATTAATTAACAGTAATGAAGAAATTTATGAACTGTCAGAGGAACTGTTGAGCTATTAAATTAACCTGTCAGGGACACTTCTTTCGGCCACCATGGGTGGTCATGTTATTGTAGCAGGGACACAGGTCCTTATTTCCTGAAGTACCCGGTGGCACGCAATTACACCTAGCACAGCAGGTACCACAAGCTCTCTCGCACAGGTTTTGCCTTGATGATAGCTCACATCTTCTGCTGCATTCACTATTACAGTCTGCATATTCACAGCTTATTTTTCTTAAACATAAATTTTTAGAAAATTATTTTCGAGTGATCATTTATATACTATTATGAAAAATTACATTTATATTTTTTGGTTTTTAGGGGATTTGACTGTGGATCCACTGAAAGGATAAGAGCATCTCCAACCGAATGTCAAACGTGCGTATGGCGTCTTGCGGTAGCTCCAGCCGAACGCCAAATCTTCCGCCATTTACTTGCGGGTGAACAGTACGACGCTAATATTGACATTGCACTGTTCGCCTACGCTATTTTGCTCTCTCAACGGGAAAAACGCACGAAAGGGAGAATGATCGTTACCTTCACAGAAGTACTTAAAATGCAGTTTGATTGGAGCAGCACCACGGCATTTTGAAGTTTTGCTGTATTTTGCCGTGAAAAATAGAGTTCTCCGTTGGAGATGCCCTAAGGCTTCGTTTGGGATGACTTTTTTGTTGCTTCTTAAAACAGTTTTTTAGTATAAAAATTAAAATTTTATTTTATAAAATTATTTTAAAAAGCAATAAAAAAGCTGTCCCAGATAAATCCTAAATTTCATAAACCAAAGAGCTGTAGCTCGATCAACGCATTTAGTCATATTGGGTTTTAAAATATTTGAATTTATTTAAAAAAAATCATCTAAAAAATCTTGTATGGTATTTAGTTTGAAGGTTAAAAATGAATAAAAAAAAATTAATTAATTTTTTGCTTGAATTGAGTCGAGGAACGAGCCAAATGTTTGAATTGATTCGATCTTCGAGCCGATTTTGAGTTGGGTCGCCATGAAAAATATGAATAATTTTAAATTATTATTTTTAATTATTTAAATTTATGATTAATAAAAGTTAGGCTTGTACTTAGGCCATCCATCCTCTTATATAAAACCTATTAATGAAGGATCAGAAAATTTAATGAGAAATATACCTATTTTTGCCAACAGAGACCTTGGCAGTGTAGCAGCAACCTGCAAAATAATAAGATATTTAATTATTAATTAGTTGCTTAATTAATCATAAACAGTGATGATTAAATATTTGCATCAAATTTGTTGGGAATATCAAAGGAATGAACAGCGAACTTCTCTCAGAATAATTGAATAAAAAAAAAAATCTATCTTTACCAAAATCAACTATATAACAAAGAGAAAAATATGATCAGTACTGATTCTATTCATTCTTACAAGCTTAGCTGCTCCAGTCTCAGCTCCTCCATGACCAGCAAGATGAAGAAGGAGCATGGAAGCAAGGAAGATCCAACCAAGAAAGCTATTGGAGGGAGCCATGGCTGCAGATAAAAAGTAGAAGGGAAGGAGAAAGGAAAGAAGAAGAGAAAGTTTAAGTGAAGAGGAATGTTGGAAAGTAGCTGGTTTTTATAGAGGAGGTTTATTAAAATGGAGTAGGTAGGTGAGGAACACAGCTTGCTCTAACTTTTGTGTACATTTTGTTATAAAAGAACATCATATTATTCCGAGATCAATCAGAACGCATCATGTCATCTGCTACCGAGCACCGGTAACGAACAAAAAAATGACATGACACGTTCTGATTAGTCTCCAGACACCGTCATGTATCCGCAAAGAATAACTTGCTTCATTTGAGACAGCTTTTTACTGTTTTATTTTTAAGATCATAATCATAAATTTTATTTGATCATTAATTTTTTACTATTTCTATTAATTTTTTGGGTTAGAAAGTTATTTTATATCTCATTAAAAAAAAATTATAACCAACCTGGTAAAAAGCTGTCCTGAATGGACCTAAGTAGTATTATCATTCAGATCTTTTAAAGCATTAAATATATGTTTCTAAGTGGGGGAGGAATTAGCTGGTGAGATTCATTACTACAACTTAGCTCTTAATTCAAGTAATACATACTTTGAGCTGCTTCCCTATTTTTGTATACAATTGAATTTAGGTGTAAGTGGGCCTCTGTTTGGCTGTTGGGTCTGACTGCTCGGTTGGGGGTGTTTTGGTTGGGGTCTGGTGATGGTTGGGTTTTGGTTGAAGAATTTGAATTTGGGGTTGGCTGGCGTGTGTTCTCTCTGTGGGTGGTCGGTTGGTCCTTATTTCTGTTGGTTGGCTCGTTCTTTCCATTGCGGCCCATTCTCTTTTTTATTTCCTTCCATGCAGGTTGTTCGAGCTTGGAGCTTCTGTCAGAGATTTTACCGTGTTGGCCTTCGCTTCTTTATGATGTTCCTCTTGGGTAGCTTTGGTTCCCACTTTTTTTTTTTTTTTTTTTAAATTTTTTCGATGGAGTTTTAAATATTTATTCGGGGATCTCGGCAAGCAGCGCGATGTCGACCCGAATAAATATTTATTTAACATATATATTATTTATTTACTCATATAACAATCAATACTTTAACTAACAAAAAAGACACGAAATTCATAATATTTACTATGAACTTCATGTAAATTCTATTCTCTTACCGGCAAGATCCCGACGTGAACTTTTATTACATCCAGTGAACGTACGCTCCTCTACGTTCGGTTTTAGACCAAAACAGCGCAATACCGATTTTTTTTAAAAAACTCGGTACAACTTGGTACTCGGTACTCGGTATTGCGTTGTTTTGGTCTAAAACCGAACGAAGAGGAGCGTACGTTCACTGGATAAAATAAAAGTTCGTGTTATTGAGTGTTTCGAGACCGCTAGCTCACATCGTGCATCGGTCTCATCAATAATGTATTTCTTGTGAGATCTTGCTTGTTCTTGCTCTCCCTCCCAAGTGCGTGACTGATGAGGTTGATGAAGTGGTATATTTAGTAAATAATAAGTTTTGGATATTATACATGTAAGTAGAAATCAAATGAAAATTATAAGAAAATATCAAAAGATGTTGGATGACATAAGGGTTGGAATAAAAAAATTAGAATGATCATATCGCCTATAATATTAGAGGACAATTTTGAATCTCAAATATTTTAAGTACTAAATATTTTTTTTCTCTAAAATGTCGTAATTAAAAAAAATCTCCTTGAATAAACCTAAGAATTTATTAATATTTAATATCAATACTATCAAATGGTTATGAGACTCATAAGTCAATCAATCTTATTGAGAATTCTTGAGCACACATATTAACGATTATGACCATTGCATCGATTCTTTAATGACTCTTAAATTTATCTTCTTAGATTGCAAAAGTTTAGAGCGATATCTTAAAATTTTTAAAAATATAGTAATAATAGCTTACATATATATATACAGTAATTCAAATGACTGATATTTTTAATAATGCAAAATTACACATTAATACCATTTAAACTGTTTCCTAATAAATAAAAATAAAAATGTAAAATCGTTTATTTGTGAAAAAAATAAAAATTTACAAAAAAAATTTAAGAGTGGCGCACGAAAGTTGGATTCCTCTGCACTCCACACCCAGCGGTCCGTACTACTTATTAGAATGATGAATTGAATTGCCACGCCGGGACAACTCCTTGGCGTGAGCTCTGCTAGGGTTTGCTTTTTCGCTCTCCTTGGCGGCGCTTTTTCCCGGCGCTTTCCTGGCCTTTGGCCGGGATGGTTTTAGCGCAGGACTTTCCTCCTCTTACTGGGGCCTCCATCCTTGGGACCCCTTCTCTTCCCCTTTCTTCCTCTTATGCGGCTAATCTTGCTGCTCCTTCTGGTTCTAGACCTGAGTGGCCGATGTCTTATTCTAAGCCGGCGAAAAAACTATCTTTTGCCTCTAAAGACCTTTCTGAAGGTAAATCCCTTTGGAACCTTTCTCTTGTTGGTTACTCTCTCGGACCCCGACCCTATTACGAGAGACTTCGTTTAGCCATGGAAAGAGCGTGGAAGCTTAAAGGTGACCTCTCTCTTCTATCTTTGGCGGATGATTTCTTCCTCCTTAAGTTTACTGCGGTTGAGGACTATGACATGGTTTCTGCGGGTGGACCATGGTTTTTGCTCGGAAAGCCTTTCATTTTACAGAGGTGGGATCCAAAATTTCAACCTAAAAGAGACGAGGCAGCTGCCATTCCTCTGTGGATCAAGATTCTGAACCTTCCACTTGCTCTTTGGACGCCTTCGGGTATTTCGAAAATTGCGAGTTACATTGGTATTCCTCTTTACGTTGATGCTCTTACTGCAAATAGAACTAGGTTAACTTTTGCTAGAGTATGCGTGGAGGTGAATAAAGACTCCATTTTAGCTGAAGAAATTCCTATGGAAATTGATGGAATGGATTTGACTTTGAAAGTTGTTTATGACTGGAAGCCGACTAGGTGTGAAGGTTGTGGCTCCCTCATTCATTCCTTTGCTATTTGCCCTCAGAACCCTGACCCTAAACCTGCTATTCCAATTAAGGCTCCGCCTAGAGGGAGAAGCAAGAGCAGAGCTCCTGCCTCGCGTGCTGTTAGTAAGGCTAGTATTAAAGATGCACCTCCGGTAATTTCCACTTTACCTGATCGGCCTCCTCTGCTTCTGAGTGCTGAACCGTCCTCCAGTCAACACCATCCCGAGACAGATTCGGGTAAGAGTATTATCTTACCTAATCTTAACCTCCCTCAAGCTGACTCTTCTTCAGCTAATATATATATATATGTAAGTTTCAAACACAAAATTTTCATTTGAGATAGCTTTAGAAAGTAATTTTTAGTTCAAAAATTTTTATTAAAAATTTTTGTGCTAAAAAGTTATTTTAAAAAGCAACAATAAGTTTTACAAATGAAGCCAATTTTTTTTTATTGATAGCTTAGGGCATCTCCAATCGGAAACCTCATTTTTACTCTAAAATACAGTAAAACTTTAAAATGCCATAATTCATCTCCAATCAAAATGCATTTCTCTTTTTTAGCACGCTTCCTGCAAATGTAACAATCTCTCTCCTCTTTCGCGCTTGTCTTCTATAAATTCGGCAATCCAAATTTTTAGCGTAGGTAAACATTCTAACGTCAATATTGACATCGCACTGTTCACCTATCGAATTTTGACGTGAGATTTGGAATTCGAATACAATGTATAATGAAGGACATATGGTGTTATGTAATTGAATTGGAGTTGATCTTAAGCTCCAAATTAATAGATAAAAATAGGTTGAAATGCCGACGTGTCAGCGAGCAGGCTGGTTACTTATATTTATTTATTATTGTTATTGTTTGTATTTTGGAGTTCTTCTAGAATTTGGATTGATGCTTTCTTATTAGTATTTTGGAAGGGATAAAACTTGGAGGTCAGTATATTGGAGGACAGCTGCATGCCTGTTGGATTTGCCACACGCCCACAAGTAGATTAGAAATTTAGAATGATGAACTTTTTCTTTTATATTTTTTTTTAGTAGAATCAAACTTTTACACTTATCTTCAATAGGTTTGGTTATGGCTTTTTGATAGCGTTGGTAGGGAAATTTTCTGGCCGGCGGCTGTCGCTGGAGGTCACCCGAAAGTTTTTCTCTCAACTTAAATTTTGTGGTGAATTTTCTATTACTTTGCTGAACTTCAGGAACGTTTTGATTAAATATTGAATTATCTTGATTATTATCGAGTTTCCTTGCACCGATCTTACTTCGTTAGCAATTGTTATATGAAGTTGGTTAAATATATACCTCTCTTAGATATTGACATTGATTCTCCTACTATACCCATTTGGGTGTCTTTTCCCAATCTGCATCCACACATATTTTCTCCCTGAATTTTGCATGGACTTGACTCCTTGTTTGGTCATCCTCTGCGAATGGATAATGCTACTTCAAATGGCTTGAGCCATCGGCTGCTCGTGTGCTTGTGGAATTAGATGTCACCAAGAGGTACTCTGACCAAGTTTGGATTGGTTAGGAATCTATGGCGGAATCCCTTGCCTATTGTGTTCACTGTAAGGTTTTAGGACACTCTAAATTGATTGACATATTTTAAATCCTCTATTAGCTAATATTGCTATGCCTAACGTGGTTGGTTTAGATATGGATGTGGGTGATAAAATTGTTGCTAATGTGGTTCTCGCTCTTTCGGGTGAGAACCCTATTGATGATATTGTTTTCCCTGAGAATGATTTACCCATTTAGACGAGTGAGTTAGTTCCTCCTGAAGTTGATGTTGGTACTGGCATTGATCCCCTTTGGTTGGACATTAATCGTTGGTCCCTTACTTGATCAGGGCAACGGCTGTTGATTCTTCTTCGTATTACTTTAATGTGACTCATGGTGCTATGACAGTTGACCCTTCTTCTCATGACATTAATGTGACTCAAGGTGTTTTGTTGGAGAATCAAGTGGTTAATTGTGATCAACTTGATGATGGTGTTGTTTCTCCTTTGCTTAATTTGGCTAAGGATCATGGTGATGTTGTGTTTGATTGTGGTGGTGATTTTGTTTACCTTGAAAATGCAGGGGCTTGTGCTTTGGCTCTATCTCATGCTGAGGTGGAGGGTGGTGAGGTGGAAGATGTTGTGTCGGGTGCCTTGTTACTATTGGTGGCAAATCCATTGTATCGCTGGGATATGAGTCGCTAGTTAATGTGCCTATAACTGTTATGTCCCCAAATGGTTTATACGTTCATGTATCTAATTTGGGGGTCACTTGTTTAGGGTATTTGGTTTGACATGATGGATATCCATCATCATCGGGTAAGGGGGGTGAGGATTTGGATGTTGAGCAAGATGACTCCTTTATGGAATTATATGATTTAGATGTTTGTCAGGTAACTGAGAAAGCGCTTTCTCATGGCAGTAAGCGTTGCAGAAGGAAATCTAGAAGGTAGTTGTTTGGGTGTTTTCTTTTTTGTTTAGCTGACAATTTTGTTGTTGGCCCATCTGCTTGTTGGTGGGTGTTCGGTGTTGGTTATGGGGTTGGATTGCTACCCCATTTTCCTTTTGGTTATGCTTGTCTTTGAAGGTTTTAATTCCCTTTTTGGTATTGTTTTCAAGCATATTGGTTGCTCTTGGTGGAGATTACTCATTGGGCTGCTGCTTGTTGGATCATTTATCCAATCTTTTGGGAGCTGTTTTGGTGCTACTGTTGTTGCAGATGCAGTCTTTTTGGATGTTATTTCCCTCTTCTCTTCGATTGGTTCCGGGTCGTTGGACTGCTCCTTGTAGCCGTTAATTGGGGTGCTAGTTTGGATGCTTGCTGTCGTTCGTGCTTTTCTTTATTGGAATTTCGTTGTATTTCTTATTTTCTTTGCTTTTATTTTCTTGTAATAGATATAATCTAAAGCTCTCAGGTTTTATTTCAAATGATGCTCTTTTAACAAGCTTTTGACCCTCTAAGGACATCTAATTTTTACCCGCTATAGGTTTTCTCAAAAAAAAAAAAAAAAAAACAATTTTGTTTTCATAAATTTCCTCATTAATTTTGTCCTCGAAAATTACTTATATATTCTACCTGCTGTAGTTAAAATTAAATAATATAGCTACTATTATATAATCAGATCTCTAAATTTCACAGGAATACTTTCATTAAGCATTCATATGTCTCTTTCACCAAGATTCATATTTTCTAAGATAACTGGTATATAATAGCACTTTTGTCATGATCCCACTCGGATTCTCGAAATAAATAGATGGTAACAAGCAACCAGACATTCACATTTCTTAAAATTTCTAATAATGATTATTTCCAATATATTGAAAGATCCATTATGAACTCTAAATATATTTTAATAAAGTTAACCTCTAAAATTCATTGGTTCAATTTTAAAGTATTACATTTGAAACCAATTTTAATACTAAAATTTTTAATTTAAGATATTTTTTTAATTAAAAGTTGCTTTAGATAGCAATAAAAAAACGATCCTAAATTAACTCTTAGAACAATTAAATAGGTAAACAATCACATTGATACGTCATCAAAAAATTATTTTGATTGGGCACGAATCTCGATGCAAAAAAAAGATGGAAACTTCCGAAATTAAAATTGGGACCATATGAATTTCAATTTCAGCAAACTTATAGTTGAACTGAGCGTCTCGAGAATATGAACCCAACGACATTAAATCCAACCAAATCTGAGGCCAAACGGGTCCAAATCAAGGGATGGAAGCGCTATTAGAAGGTTCGAACCATAATTTGGATTATCAAACGGTTTACCAAATGGTTTCCAAACTTAACGTGTTTATAGTCGAATTGAGCGGCTCGGCAAGACAAATCGAACGAGCCCAAGATCACAAAAATCCGACATCCTAAGACATTCAAATGTCCGTCAAATGATCTATGATCAAGGGATTCAACATCGGTCGTCCATCCAACCACTCCTCATTTACTCTTGATCTCTTACCTATTTAGGGGCCATGCCACTTCAAAATTCTATAAATAGACCCCTCATTTCTCTTGAAAAGGGTGACTGGAGCAAGAAGAGAAGGAAGAGAAGGAAGAAGCTCCTCTTTGGCCACCATCTGAGTTCGCCGGATCACCACCTGAGGCCCTCGCCTTCACCGGACCACCACCTGAGGCCTGAACTTATGTCAAACCACCACTTGAGGCCGCCACCTAGATCTGCCAGACCACCGCCTGACTTCGTTGCTCCACCGGACCACCACGTGACATCCGGACTTCTACCGGACCACCATTGGAGGCCCTGGTTTATGTCGGACCACCATCTGAAGCTTGGGCTTCTCCCAGACCACCACGTGACGCCTGGACTTCTGCCGGACCACCACTTGATGCCCGAAGTTATGTCGGACCACCACCTGAGTCCCGGACTTTTGCCGAACTACCACTTGAGGTCTGATCTTCTCTCGGATCACCACCTAAGGCCCGAACTTCTACCGAACCACTACCTGACGCCCAGAGTTCTACCAGACCACCATCTGATGCCCAGAGTTCTGCCAGATCACCACTTGATGCCTAGAGTTCTTTCAGACCATCACCTTAGATCTGAACTTCTGTCGGACCATCACTTGAGACTCAGATTTCTAATATACCACCACCTGACGCCCAGAGTTCTACCGGAGTACCACCCTATAATTATGGTCTTTCAAACTCCGGTCTCCTGCCAACTACGGTCTTTTGGACCCCTGTCACCCGCCGGCTAAGGTCCTTCCGACCTCCATCGCCTACTATTGTCATTTAGATCTCCATCACTTGAAAATAGTCTTTTTGACACCAGTCTCCTGCCAACTACAGTCTTTCGGACCTTTATCTCTAGCCGACTATGGTCTTCCCGACCTCCATCACCTACTATGGCCCTTCCGACCTCCATCACCAGACAACAGTCTTTCTGACCTCTATCCTATCGACTATGATCGTGCCGACTAAACAAACATGTCTATTTATTATTATTATATATAAATATTAAATTTAAGAGGTTGAATATTTAAATATAAATATTATAGTTTTGAAGTGATAAATTCTTTAATATTTTTTTAGGAAAAGTAAATATTAGTATAATGAGGTACATAAAAAAAATACATAACTCACACATGCAATTATTGAGTATTTAATTCAAATGTGTAATTTCATGCACCATAGGGCCCCACCTATGTTTGCGGCCAGCTGTTTAACTGATTTGTTCCTCTAATTATTGTTTAGTACCTCTAGATTTATCATACTCATTAATGAGTTTTTTCCTCCAAAAATTAGTCGGTGCGGACAACGGACAGTCTGGAGATCAATCAGAATATGCCACATCACCAAATAAACAACAATACTAAGCAAAAAAAGTAATGTGGCTAATTCTGATTGGTCTTCGGACACCGTCAGACGTTCGTAGAGAATAATTTTTTCAATTCAAGAGATTTTTTTAACTTTTAAGCGAATTAAACGCAAACACAAATATGTATGTTTAAACACAGGTTTTGTTTGAGATATTTTTTAAAAGCAGCTTTTTGGTAAAAAAAACTTTAATTATAAATTTTTATATTAAAAAAGTTATTTTAGAAAGCAACAAAAAGCTGTTACAACTAAAATCAATTTTTTTTTATTGATAACATGAGCTCCCAACTAATAGATCAAGACCGGCTGAAATGATGATGTGACATGAGTAAGCTGGTACTTATATATATTTATTATTATTATTTGTGTTTTTTTTAGATGGTTAGAGGATTCGAGTATGAATGAGGAACTTTTATTCTATTCAGTGAACGTACGCAGAGGAAAGTTTGGTTTTAGGCAAAAAAGCGCCTGTACCGAGTTTTTTCAAAAAACTCGGTACGCCTCGGTACAGGCGCTTTTTTGCCTAAAACCGTACCTTCCTCTGCGTACGTTCACTGGATAGAATAAAAGTTCATGAATGAGACAGGAGGAATATCTTTCGTCGATTACTCGGTCACAAACTCGATCTCATTATTTTTGTTTTGAAGGTCTTCTAGAATTTGGATTGATGTTTTTTGGTTAGTATTTTGGAAGGGATATACTTGGAGGTCAGTATAATGGAGGACAGCTGCATGGATTTGCCACACGTGCCACAAGTGGATTAGAAAGATGAACTTTTTCTTCTATATTTTTTTTGAGTAGACTCAAACTTCTTTAGTTATCTTCAATAGGTTTGTTTATGGTTTTTTTTTTTTAATTTAGGTTTCATTTGAACAGTTTTTTTAATTGGTTTTTAAAATAATTTTTTAATATAAAAAATATGTGAATTAGAAATTTTTGTACTAAAAAGTTATTTTAGAATTAAAAAAAAAATCCCAAATGAAGTCTAAGTTAAAATTATTTTGATTATTTAACTAATAAATTAGTTGATCAACTTTTAGTAATATTGAAATGATATATAATTACTTGATAATATTGGTAATATTTCAAACGTAATAAAGCTCATTTGACGTCACTCAATTTTGATATTTTCTCCTAACAAATTTGCCTTAAAACTTATAGATGTCGAATCATCTCCCATTTATCTTAAATCATAGACATAATCGATTTGGTGTTTGTGCGGAATGATTACGATGTTTTATAAAATTGATTATAAAATCAATGCTAGAAAAACAATTTAGGCATCATTTGGGACGACTTTCTTACTGCTTTTTAAAACAACTTTTTAATAAAAATTTGATTTTTTTAATTAAAAAACTATTTTAAGCACAATAAAAAAAACCTTTCTAAAATGAAGCCAAATTGTTATAGTTCAAAAAAAGTAGTTTTCACCATAAAATTTTTTAAAAAAATATTGAAAAAAGTTTATATTTGGGATATAGAATTCAAACAAATTACCTCAAAATATCTTCAAAATTTTTTTTGACACAATGAGATCGCAAATTATTAGATTTACTTTAAAATGAATACAATACAAAGAAAATTTATAACTATGCACTTCTTAAAATAAATTCAATAAATTTAAACCCTAAATTATAATTTTATCAGAACATTCCAATCCAAAAAAAAATTTATAATAAAGTATTTGAATATGATTTTATATTTTGAATTTAAATGAATAATAATATTAGAATAATTTTATGTAGGAATATCCAGAAACAAAATTATATTAGAATGATTTTAAAAATTATTGAGTTTTTTTCAAGATTAATGCAACATAAATTAGTCATATAGAACATTAATCTTCAAGCAAATCTAATAAATTTTAAACCACTACTAATATAAATTGAAAAAAAATATTCAATTATAATTTTACATAACATAGAAAAGAGAAGCAAAGTATACCCCTGTAATCTTCCCCAATGTTGACAATATATGGATTTTAAATTAAAATCAGAAGAAAATAAAATTTGCCAAATATAATATAGTTTAAGTGGCTCAAAAAGTTGAATTTCAAGTTTTAACCGATATTATAACTAAGACTTCAAATATATTATAACTAAGTCTTCAAATGAAATAACTTTTTTACACTTTTTTAAAGCAACACTTTAATACCAAAATTTTTTAAAATGAGATATTTTGTATCAAAAATTTGCTTTAAAAAATAGTAAAAAAATCAGGACGGCTTTTTACATGTTTCTTAAAGAAAATTTTTAGTAAAAAAATAAAAATTTTTGTACTAAAAAACTGCTTTAAAAAGTAATAAGAAAGTAGTCTCAAAGGAGAATTTTTATTGAGTCCTCCCACCTGACGTAGAGATGCGTCCTCCCAACGCCAAAAAACTCGGTTTTTGCTCGATATTGCTAGATATTATTTGGTAATAACGAGGAATATCATCATGTGAAGACCAATACGGAGTTATACCGAGCACATACCGAGTTTTCTCTAGGAAAAACTAGACCTAAACCCGACCCGCTTCGGATTCAGGTCAGCCCAAAATTTTCGGGTCAGGTTTTCACTTCGGATTCAATATTGACCGGTCTTATATATAAATTTTAACTTAAAATCGGATGAAAATAAAATTTGTCAAATATAATATAGCTCAAAAAGTTAATTTTCAAGTTTTAACCTATATTATAACTAAGGCTTCATTTGAGATAATATTCTTATACTTTTTAAAGCAATTTTTTAGAACCAAATTTTTTTAAACTGAAATCTTTTGTATCAAAAAATCGTTTTAAAAAGTAGTAAAAAAATCAGAACGGCTTTGTACTGTTTCTTAAAGTAAATTTTTAATAAAAAAAATTAAAATTTTTGCACTAAAAAAATGCTTTAAAAATCAATAAGAAAGTAGTCCTAAACGAAACCTAAATCTAGCAACCAAACAGCCCCTAAAGCATGAATCTGTAGGGTATAAAGTCAAGCATTCCGATTTTCACAATCAAGCATTTCGATTTCCTGCATAAAGTCACGTCAATACTTAGATATAATGACAAAGGGTTTATTCGAATCCAGTCTAGTATGGCTTAGTATTTTAGTTATTCCACCGTTAATTTTACTCACATCCCTACAATCACAATCAACAATAAGTGCATGTTTCAAAGTTTAAGTCAAATTGTGGGAGTCCCGACGCATCCGGAGGCCAATCCGGACGTGCCAATTCAATCAATGCACTATGTATTGGGTGACGTAGCACGCCCGGATTAGCCTACGGACGAGTCCAGACAGCGCACATAATAATTTTCCCTAATTGTGATAACTACATAGTGCAATAACTTTGGAAAGAGAGCCAATACGATTTATTATGAAAGCATATAATTATCATGATTCATTTCTCTCTTTTAGGCCAATTAAGATACTCACACACACATTAGATACGCAAGGCTCGCACCTAAGACCTCTTAGTTGATAGCCAAAGCACCCAACCGACAGATCAAGATGAGCTGTGTTGATCCATTTCGACAAAGAGTAACTTTGGAAATGGAAAAGTATGCTTTTTCAACAAATAAAAATGAACCATGATATCAAAGGAAAAATTAAATACCAAAGAGATGGTTTGCAGCAAAGCTCATCTGATTAAGCACTTTAAGTAGAAGGAAAAATGAGTATAAGCATAGAGGAATCATAAATTCAGATAAAAGTAATCACGAGATCTCACTAATAGAAGCAATGTGATGTATGTGATCGCTTGGTCAGCTGCTGTAAGCTTTGGCTTCCAGCAAATTTACATAAAATGACTTCCTTCCAATACACAAATAAGAAGATCCCTGCAAGAAACGTGGATTTAGATAAATCAATAGCAAATATTTCAGTAGCATTTCCTGATAATAACACAGCAGCTAAAAATATTAATTAAAGAAAGAAAGAAAAGCTACTCCCTCTCGATTTTCTTCCCAACCTTACACGCCATTATTCTGCACATGTCAAGCTTTTATGCGTACAACGAATGAACCTGTAGGGAGCATTAAGATGCAAGGAATAAGCAGTAGTTTATGAAGATCAGTGGATTAGAAGATACAATATAGCATGTCATAGTTGTTTTTCAAGCAAACTAAGGCTTCGTTTGGTACGGGTTTTTTTACTGCTTCTTAAAGCAATTTTTTTAGCACAAAAATTTTAAGTTTTGTACTAGAAAGTCGCTTTAAGAAATAGTAAGAAAGCTGTCCCAAACGAAACCTAAGTACATTATCTGTTTATAAAAAATTTAATGGAATTGATACTTCTCTAATTTTTATTATAATTTTAATGGGAACTTCATGAGGGTTTAAGCAAACAAGTGCTATCTTAACGCATAGGTTTCATTAATAGCAGTAAGGGGGTGTCATTGAGAATTAATAGTAAATTTTATAACAACGCAACTTAACAATTAAGCCTGTTTTGTTGGGCATTAAAGAATTATTGATAGCTAAGTTGAGCATAATTGAAATGATGTTATTACAATGGATAGATGTCAAAATAAGAACAGCTGTAGCCTTCATCTTTGTATTGCCATAAATATTTTCTATATATATATATAAGCTAGACTTCTGCCCTATTTTTGTCCTTTTAAATCGTCACCTCATTGATTCATGAGATCCTTACAGTCTACTCATAAATTTGTAGACGATCATATTGATTATATAATTATTTTTTCCTTGATTTTATATATTTCCTGTTAGAAACTACTGTAAAATTTTATGAATACTACACAAATGTTGAAATGAAATATATAATAAATTTTATACAATTTTAGTTATGATGTTAGAGCCCCAGAATTTTTCTCTACCATTTATTTCCATTATTGCAACCTTCAACATTGCATTAACACAATCCTCTGGCCTTCATTTTTACACTTTCTTCATTTTCTCTTATTTTTCTAAAACTCTAGCCTTCATCTTTATATTGCCATAAATATTTTCTATTTTTGCATCCTTCATTACTCGAAAGAACCATCTAAAGTTGTCTCAATTGATTTGCAATTTCTTAAGGTATGGAAAGGCAAAGGTTTATTAGGAGCACTTGAAAAATAATATCTAAAACTGGTACTTATATGTAAGTATTATCGGCATTACCTCTTCCTCTCATGCCTTTATAGTCTCAAAGATGCCAATTTCCTACTCCTAGATTATTGATTCAAGAGATACATATCATATGACCAATTCCTCTCATAAATTTATTTCATACGTCTCAAAAATAACATAGTCGACGGATCCTTGACCATCGTGTCAAATCAAGAAGATATTCTTATAAATAAATTGCTCACACTTTGAACATATATCTAAATTATTTACCAACCTTTTATCCATTCAAAAGCTACATAAGAATTTCAAGTGCATTTTCATATTTTATTCTTCTTGTGTCTTTTAGAAATATGGCACAGGAAAGTCAATCGAGCTTACAAAAGAAAGTGATGTTCTCCACCACCTTGACAAACAAATTGATAAAAAAAACTCCTAAAACCTTCAATATTATCTCCTCTAAAATATCCTTAAATCCAATAAAAATATCTAACTTCGACACCTACACCTTAGCCACCCATCATTTATTAATCTCAAAATCATGTTTTCTTCATTATTCATATAAATCAATATCTTACAATTTCATTGTGATATTTGTAAACTAGCACGAAGTAACTATATCAAATTTTCAGTAAGTGACAACACTTAACTATTTTTTCTCATTCATAATGATATTTGAAAACCATCCACCAAATCAAACATTTCCAGGGCTTGATGTTTTGTATTGTTTATTGACAATTGCACCTGTATATTATGCATCTTTTTACTAAACGTCAAAAGCAATGTAAGTATCATCCTTCCACCCTTTTCAATACAATCAAAAATCAATTTGGTGTTAATATTAAAAGAGTTGGATATGACAATGTCAAATACTACTTTAGCCATTCTCTCTCTTGATACTTCCAAGAAAAAAAATAATGCACGAGTCATCTTACGTGTATAACAATATAATAAAATGGAGTGGTTGAATGAAAGAGCAACTGCCTACTTGTTATCACAAGGGTTCTCTTTTTTCAAAAAAATGTCCAAAACAATATTGTGAGGAAGTAATTTAAATCACCATCCATATCATAAACTATCTACCTACAAAAATCATTGAGTTCAAGAGTCCTACAAATCATAAACAAATTCTTTCCCCATTTCTATACCTCAAACAACAATATTCCCAAAATATTTGAAGAAGTTTCCTTTATTCATATACACTCCTAAAATAGAGAAACACTTGATCCTCAATGAATTAAATGTATTTTCATTGGCTATTCACCCATACAAAATGATATAAATGATATCATTCCTCCACCAGAAAAGTGTAGTGTGATGCAGGACAACTTAGGTGACATGCTTATAACTTCATTTTAAACATTGCACAATTCTTTGATTAGAATAATTTTGAAATCAAATTACTAGTAATTCTCAACGACGATGAAAACAAATAAAGGGATGCTTTACATAGGCTAAATTACATGCTCCGAGCATTGAGCTCTCAAAATAATTAAGAAAATAAAAACAACACAAAATAGTAGTTTTCAAATTAAATCCCTAATCTAACAACGAGACGTAGGATGCATAGAAGATAGATTTAGAAGAAATTGAATGCAAGTGGGAAAGAGAAAACCTTTGCTTAAGGAGACGTGGAGATCCTCCACGGTAGCAACTACTCTTGAAGAATATACAAGGTTGGAGAACTACGATGTTCTCTTCAAGGTGTGCTGAAGAAGTAATCCAAGTCCTTCCAAAATCTGAGAAAGTTCTCAGATTTTCTAGCCAAAATCTGGATGGTCCTTCAGGAAATCTGAAAGATTTCAGCTTTCCTCTTAGAAATCTGAGAAGAAATTTCTCTCTCGGTGCTGGGAAAAGGGATTAGAGGTAGCATACAGTTACGGAAGTAAGCCTCATGTGAAACCAAGGTGGAGAGGAGGTATGAGAGGGAGGGGAGATACGGGATACAGAGGGGGAAGGCCGGCGGGATTGAGAAGACGTGGGATCTATTTCCTAAATTCAAGCTCTGATTTCTGGTCATAAATTAGAGCTTAGTTATTAGGAAAAATTTCAGCCAATAGGGACATAAGGATTTGAAATTATTTCCTAACGGCTGGGTTTAGATTTAGGCAATACTTAATTGAGCATTGATGGGTTAGGGAAGAGGGGCTGGCGGCATTATCAGGTGGATGGGGTTTTGGGTGCCATGTGTTCAAGCTTGCCTAAAATCGTTTTAGACTTAGGAAAATATTTAATTACCTCTATTTGAATTTGAATTCAAATATTGCTAATTTTGGAAACTTTCCTAACAAAGGTTCTCTCAAAATTAGGAAAGGAAATTTCAAATTCAAAATTGTTTGGATGTTGAAATTAGATCTTCCCAAATCAAGAATAAGTATTTATGGAAAGTATTCAAATAGAGATTTGAATTTCAAGGGTGGAGGAGGTTGATGAGGCCGGCGGCTTGCAGGATGGGAGAGGGGATCTCGGTGGGGTGGTGAGGAGGTCCTTGGGTGGCCGGCGGCTTGAGCCGGATGGGAGAGGGGATCTCGGTGGGGTGTTGAGGAGGTCCTTGGGTGGCCGGCGGCTTGATGGAAGGGAATGAAATTGTATAGCTTGGTTGGGAGGAGACGATGGCTTGGAGATGGAAAAGGGTTTGGTATAACGATGCCCGATGGTGGTGGTGGAAGGAGAAAAGTCAAAAGATAAAGAAAGACCACGAACCCGGCCGTCTCCAAGGTTGGTGGGTGATCCGATCTCCCTCTCCTAGGGATTTCTCCAAAGTTCTCTCCTAGAACTCTCAAACACTCTCAAACACACAAGTGCAAGAAATTTTTCTCATCATAATCATCCATTACCCAAAACAAAGGAAATGAGGCTATAAATAGCCGGGTACAAAGACTCAAGAAAATAAAAGACCAACTTGCCCTTTGGGCTTACATGCGACCACTCCCATGAAAGGGGTACAAAGGGAAATAATAACGACACCTAAGCAAATAAGAAAATGCATAAAATAAAATACAATCATGACTCAGAAATACAGGGACTCGATCGTGGCCGTAGATCGGCGGCCACGTCTCTGATAAACCTTCCACGCTGATCTGATGTCCCCATCAAAGTGTCCTTTGATAACACTTTCAATTAAAAAGATCACTATTTTATTACTATTTATTATAAGGAAGAAAACTCATTAATAAATAAAGCTTTCTCATAGATTGCTTTTCCTTGCCCCTCATCCCAACAAACTACTCTATTCCAAAATCATCACTCCTACTCAACCTGATCATATACGAGAAAAACTTTTTACTTGGCCATTATAGATTTACTCAAGAAGCAAAGCATGTCAATTTACAGAAGTCCAATCAATCGAATCAATCCTTATCATAGAATTCGCTAAGGAAACCATTAAGAGTAGGAATAACAGTACAAGAACTTTCACTAAATATCTCTTCTATTATTTTTATCATACAAAAAATTACTCATAATCATCAATCCTTCCTTACTAGCTTGCATATTATTCATATACCTAAAATAATTTCTGAGGCTTTAAATAATATGAATTGGAATAATACTATGATGGAAAAAATAAAAGCCTTAAAAAAAACCAAAATATGACATTTGATAAAGCTATAAAAAAATTAGTGGAATGATGATAGATCTTTATTGTAAAATACAAATTTGATGTTTCACTACAAATGTATGAAGCCAAACTAGTAGGCCAAAGGATGCATTTAAGTATATGAGATTGATTATCTTGAAATATTTGCTCTAATTGCTAAAATGAATGATGTTAGACTTTTTTATCTTTAACAATTAATGTGGATTGAAAGATATAGTAATTCAATGTGAAGAATGCCTTCTAACATGGTGACATGGAGAAAGTATATATAGAGGTCCCAACAAGATTTTGATCAAACACAAAACAAAAGATGTGCAAACTGAAAAATGCCTGGTAAGGGTTGAAACAATATGCAAGGTGCGATTTGAAAGATTCATAAAAGTAATGCTTAAAGTGTGATATAAACTAAGTCAAGGAGCTCATACATTATTTGTAAAACTTGTGGCTTCAGGGAGAGTCTACACATTGCTAGTTTATATTAACAATATTATAATGACAAATGGTGACTTGGAAGGAAGGAAGAATTTAATAAAAAGATTGCTCCAAGAATTCAAAGCCAAAGAATTTAGTAAGCTAAAATACTTTTTTGGCATTGAAGTTGCACACTCTCAACATAGAATTTGAATATACAACGTACCTATTAAAAAAAAAGACAAGTTAGGATGCAAATCAATCGAGAGCTTCATAGCTTCATGGAATTTAATCGCAAATTTGAAGATGTTCTAGAATACACAACAATAGAAAAAAATCTCATATCGGGGACTACTAGGAAGACTTATCTACTTATCACATACATGATATGAAATTGCCTACATTGTTGGAGGGGCAAATCAAATCATGTAAAATCTTAAAGAATCACAAATTAGGGCAATACATATAATTCAAAAATATTCTGAAAGAAACATCGAGCAAAAGAAATCTATTAAAAAATGGAAAGATTTGACACTTGAACCATGCAGATATAGATTATGCGTTTTACATGGTTGAAAAAAGATCAATTTCAGGATATTATATATTCTTACAAGGCAATCTCTTGACTTCAAGAAAAATAAAATATGGTAGAAAAATCTAACCCGGAGCCAAATTTAGGTCTATCATGTTGGGAATCTATAACTTGTTATCACTAAACATTATTCTAAAATTTTAAATGGTCGAATGAAACGGTCGGATGAGAATATTGCTAACTATCAATATAGCACAATATGATTATACAAAGTATATTGAAGTTAATAGACATTTTATGAAGAATAAACTTCATAGTGGCCTAATTTGTACTCAATTCGCAACCACATATGATCAACTCGTTGTTACTATCAACAAAGGATTATTATGGATAGTCTTTTAGAAATTATCAAGCAAGCTTGGAACGGATAATATCTATTCATTCGCTTGCGCGTGGGGTTTCACCAAAGCTTCAACTCTCTTTCCTTCCTCTTATGCTTCTACCTTATTGATAGATGTAATCCCTGCTACCTGATTATAAATCAGTGGACTATCATAATTATAATGTAATTATTACTTTGCCTACTACTAAATAATTCATGAACTACTATAATTATTCGGCAATTTTTATTCTTTGATTATATATTTTTTCTATAAGAAGCTCTCCTAGGATTATAAAAATACTATACAAATGTTGAAATGAAATGCACAATCATTCTCTCCAATTCTCGCCAGTATGTAGCATAGAGGTTCATCTAAATTTAATAATCATTATAGTTTCTTGTGTGCAATAGCACCTAACCGTAATTACCAAGTCAAAGCAGATCCTTTAACACAAAGCTTTAAAATAAGTGCTTGTTTGGGATCACTTTTCCTATTCATTTCTCTTTAAAAAAAAACAAAAAAATAAAGTGATAAAAAACATGTTTGTTAAGATATTTTGTTTTTTAATTATAAAAACAATTTGATTTGCATTTACAATTATAAAAAACACATTTTAGTTGTTATTGAAATTTACAAATCATGCTATCAATTTTGCTAGGTCTATAGATTATTTGAACTTGTATTAGCAAGAAGATAACATAAGATAGCTAAACACCAAGCCAAGATAAAAAAATTATTAAAAAAATAAAATATTATACTCATCCACTTATATTATTAATCATAGTAATATAATATTTAAATTCTGATTATAAAATTAAGAAAACTCTAGCAATGAGGCCAAATATCAAAATCAAGCATGAAATATTGATTTGCATACCCCAAAGGATGTATTTTATTTTATATTTATCCACTTAACTTCTAAATCATACAGGTTGATTATGTAATGGTATAATCGGAATAGTGTTATTTTTTGTTTTTTTTTTAAACAATTGTGCATATAAAAACTCAAATGTTTTTTTAAAATAACATAAACAATATACATAATAATCTCAAATGACCCTTTAATATCCATTCAAATTTAGTCAGCCCTAAAAGATCAAACAAATTTGTATCCCAAATGAAAAGCTAAAAATAATGGAAAACCAAAAGCAGCTTGAACAGGATTCAGATCAGTATATCTTGATCTTCTTGCTCCATCAATGCAGCAAACAAAAATATCTAATGAAAAAAATCTAAGGCTTCACCAACATCACCATATTTTAAATGCTTACTTCATATGATTAATAAAAATTATTAATCTATTCAAGGACTGCCAGACTAACGCATAGCATGTGTAAGTTTTTCCAGCGCCCAGCCAGGTAAACCAGCTAGACTAATTTTCTAGCACCAGCCGAGTTATCTTGGTCCCCACAGTTGGCAGTAAAACTTTAAACCATGCAGACATGTTTATCCATACATTTTAATGAAGACATAAAGTATTCTTGAGATCCTATGTAAGGCGGAGAAGGACAAATTACTTACATGCAGGTCGGTTGGATATATCTGCAGAAACAGCACAAGGAATTCCCAGACTTGTAAGAGCACCCCTTATGATACCACATGGAAAGTAGAGGTGCATGCTTGTGGTTTGAGCTGCCTGATTATCATCATTAGGTGTAGAAGACTCAGTTGAGTTTTCTTGCAGAGGATTTGGCGATATGCGTGCAATCCATCGAAACATATTGTCTTGGAGAACAAAGGTACCCTGCAATGAAGTTCCAATGACAGTCATCTCTATAACCACGAAAAGGTATAAGGACTCGAGAGCTTCTCTGATTCAAGTTGGGCTAACTCGGTGATTAGTTTTTAAGTTATCAATCTGCTTCTTGAAGAGCTCGGACCAGAATTCTTTGCATATAAACTTGATAGCCTCTAGATGATCAGTAAACCGAGGACAGTCCATTGTATACCTGAACAGCATATGGATGGTTCAGAAACACTAATATAAGTTTATCCTAGGCAGAAAAAAGTTATCCATTTGTTGAAGGTTTGTGCCAATTAATATAGAGTTTCAGTCGTTGAAAATATGGTGCAATATCAGAAACAATGATAATAATTTATCCTCATAAAATGCAATTATTTTATGGAAGGTTTATACCACTTAATATAGACTTATATAGTCTGATGCTATAGACAACAATATATTCTATTAATTAAAATTAATTTTGTGCCATTGTTTAAAATTACATAATATAAGGCATGCCTCAAGACATACCTCAGTGCTTTTTGGAGAAATTTGCAATGAGGCGCCTAATGCCTCATTGAGTCCTATGTGAGGCTTACGTGTCACATGATGTGTGGTGTGCATTGCATCAATTTTTGTGAGGCATACGCCCTCTAAAATTAAATATAAGAAAAATAAACCTGATGAAATGCTTCTACTTATGCAAATAATATTCGCACCGCATTCACACATGCATGTAGTCACACAATCATGGGATAGCAGACATTGAGCTCCTCTCCTTACAAACTAAACCTTCTTCTCTTTGTATGAAACCCCTAACTTTGGCTGAAGCTCTTGCAGTAGCCATTATCACAGATTGGCCATGACAACCGTTTGTTGTTGCATCCATCAAACTAACTCCACTTCTAGTAATCAAACTCAGGGTGCTTAGGAAGGTCTAAAGCTAGCGTCCCTGCTTCAAGGATACGTTGGAGTATGAAGTGAGGGTGACTCCTATACTCTGACCACCTAAGTTCTTGGAGGGCAGAGAGATATACCTAATGATCAGCACATGAAATTATGTTAGGACTTATTCAACGTATTTCATTTAAATTAAGATTTAGTGTGACCTCGAGGTCCATTCATGATCGTGACCAGATTTTTGAGTTGTGAGTGTAAGGAAACAATTCCATTTCTTCTTGACAAGTCATGGGGGCAGTGTTTTTAGAAGTTGAAGACGTATGTAAGGAAGATTTAGTAAGAACAAGTTTTTATTCTTATCGTTTACAGTAAAACACTAGCCCTTGAATATAAAAGGTTCGTCAAAGAAAAGTAACTCTTTAAAAGTGAAATCAATAGAAATAAATAATTTTTTGGTTATAGATGGTGGTAATTATATTCTTTTTGGGGATTTAGTAACTCATACAAATACACTTGATTGCTTCAAGGTCAATTTCCTCCATTATTACTATGAACAAGCACAAGAGCGGTACAATCAAAGATTGATGATGTGAAATTGTTTGAAGTATTCAAATTGGGATAAAACTAATAGAATGCTTCGATTGGTGTTTTGAACTCTACAACTTTGGAAATTAGCCTATTTATAATGCAATTAGTTGTAAGTACAACCTCTCCCTAATATCATTTTGGAGCATTGCATTGGAATTACAATGATCTAGTTATTCCTAATAAGAAATCAATTTTCAGTTATGCAGCCCAATTTTATTGAGTAATAATGCCTAAAGAGTCATGAGTTATTCCTTTGAAAATATGGCTACAGCATATTTTTAGTTTTAATAACAAAATGGTTATGGATCATATAATGAAAGTAGGTGGACAATCCAAGATACTCAAGTACAATCATCAATGAAAGAAACAAACCACCTAGTGCATATTATAATAGGACTAAAGGAGGGATCTCATATGTTACTATAAATCAAGTAAAAGGGAAGAAAAACTCTTTCATTACTACCCAGGAGTCTTTGCTTTGCAATTTTACAAACATCACAATGAAATTTTAACATCAGCTCCTTTAAAAAGATAAGGAAATGTTTTTTTTTTTTTTATTTTAACTGAACAGTGACAAGGCCGACAATATTAAAGCCATATTGTATCATTATTTGAGGAGAAAAGGAAAGATAAAAGTAGATAATTATTGATCCTCTTTGACTTGATGTTTCAAGAAAGTAAGGTCCACATTTTTCCTTTAACAAGTCCAATTATCTTCCTAGTCTCCTAATCATGAGCGAGTTTTTAAATGAACACAGTGTTAATAAAAAGCTAAGGAACATGAAGAATATTTTAGAAAAAAATAATGGAGGTTTGGATGTCTCCAAACCCTACTGTTGTGAGTGTAGCGAAGGGGAGAAGTAATGGCGTCAATAGAATCATAGAAGACATGCAACAATGAGGAGAAATCGAGAAATTAGTGTTACATGCACAAGCTGTGTTACAAAGCAATGTGAAGAGGTCATTGGTGTCAAAGCGAAAACAAAGGCCTTGTCAAAATCGAAATCAAAGTTGGCATAAAATAGAGATCGGAGTTAATGACATTTGAAGGAACTAAAATATTGGACATGTGATGGTGAGGAGAAAATAAATCATATGGAATTGAAGTCTATAATATGCAGAAAAAATTCAACAAGAGAGTTGTGCAAAGAAGTCTCTAGAAAAATATTGGCGACGTAGTGAAGAAATTGCGTCAATTTGAGAGTAGCTAGGGGAGATATCACTGATGGATTCAGGATGACAATGACGACGACAAACAACAATGTATGATAGGTCTTTGCATCAGGCGATGTGGGCCAACGAATGATGGGTTGATGAAGGTTGAGAATGTGAAGGGAAATCGATGCTAATATGCAATCAAAAGAGCTCAGGATCTAATACCATGTAGAGAACATAAAAGTAGGAATGTATACTTTCTAATTCACAAAGTATTTGAAAGAAGATAGTTAATATATAAGTTGATCTAGGAATGAAACTAGGAAATATTCACAGCAACCAAAAAGGCATATTTTAAAAATAGATTAAACATTTTCTTCATCGGCATGAATCCCTTGGCTCTTGATTTCCTTCTTTAGCATACATCTGTGGGATCCTGACATCCTTCCTTGGATTGAATAAGTAAGATCATGATTTTCATCCTTGGCATTAATATTTGGATTCCAATAACAATACAATTTTGCATCTTTACTTGTCTTCCAATACTAACATATCAAGGGGATTTAGTTATATTATGCATCAATATTCCAAAATACTCAGGCAGTTTATAACTATCATTGTATAATAACAGTTCTTAAATCCCATTCTATTCAAACAAATCCATTCTTAAATTTATATAAAGTGAAATATAGCCTAGGGTTTAGTGAACATTGAGAGCACAACAAGTGTGAATCGAACAACCTTGAAGGCTTGAACCATGAGTTCCAGATTTGTCTGATTTCTAAAGAAAATACGGTACAAGTTGTGAAAGAAAAGATTGGCAAATCAAAATTGGATAAGCTGTGAAGAGCACCTCTCGACAAGCTGGTGGCCAACCTGGTAGCCAATGGCCTCGATTCGGCGGGCAGCAAGTTCCGGTTCGGCGGAGTAGAATTTGTGACAGAACGCTGATACCATCTCGATCACCACGGCGTCAACGCAGCTCTCTGCAACCTCTCGCCCCATCACCGCCTCGACAAGCACTCCTCTCCACCAAAGATCTATCTTTCTTTCTCTCAATCCAAAGCATCGGCAAGTTTTAGAAAGCGATTTATATAATTATTTTCTTTGATTACAATTTAATACTTACAATTATATATAATTACTTTAATGTTCAAAATTAGAGAAATAAATCCATTATTTTTTTCTTAAAAAAATATGTTTAGAAATTATAAGTTTCATTTGGATCAAAATACCATTAATTTGATCACAAGAAAAAAATGGCCACTATTAATTCAGATAATTGTTGCATATCCTTCAATCAAAATTCAAAATTAGAATACGATTGATAGCTACTCCTAAAATTATTAAAATAATTGAAAATTATTGGAAGATTTTATTTGATCATTCTTAGACATATATTTGAATATAGCATGTTGTGATCAATGAGAGGCCGAAAATAGGTTCGATCATCAATTCGAATACATTCAAATAGGATGCTTAAATTTTTTAGTAAAGTTCTTAAGCTCATCATGGGCGGATCCCCATACAAGTGAGGGGGGGCAAATGCCCACCCTCAAAAAATTTTTTTTTTTAATTTTAGAGGGTATTTTTTGGAATATTTTGAATATTTTGGATATTTTGCCCCCTCTCAAAAAATTTTTTTACCCTAATTTTATCAATCCTAATCATTTTTGCCAATCCCCTACCAAAAATTTTTTTTTTGCCCCCCTAAAAAAAGAAGCTGGATCCGCCCCTGAAGCTCATGCTTCATGTACATACTTAAGTGCCTATTAAGGCGATGTTTTATTTGAAGGAAAATGTTCGGCTAAAGTAAGAGAAATGACGAACGATTGCCGCTATCATTGATGCTCGCTATTATTGTCGCAAACAATTACTTGTATTTATATTGCACTTACCTAAAGAGTCACCGGCTATCACTATTATTGGACTTTATACTGCATTCACTCATTTTACTTCGAGCAAAAAAAAAATTCATTTATATTGATTTCAATTTTCAATAATTATTTGTTTCTCGGGTGAATTATCACAACATTAAAATTTTAAATAATTTTTAATGAAAAAATTAATAGATATCACTGAAAATAGACTCAGAATATTTTATTGAAGAGCAAATAATTCCAATATTAAAATAATTTATTTTATTATTTTAAAAAGTATTTCTTAATTTTCAATTCACATTACAGAAATTTAAAAAAAATTTAGTCCTAGCAAAATTGAGACTTTGTTTGCGACTATTTTTTTGTTCTTAAAGCAAAAAAATTGCTTTAAGAACAACAAGAAAGCCATCCCAAAAGATGCTGACCACTAGTCTAGTTGTTGGCCTGGAGCGATCAAAGAGTTGCCATTCATATAGCAACAGCTTTTTTACTGCTTTCTAACGCAGCTTTTTAGTACTTTTTTTTAAATACATATATATTAAAGAACTGCTTCATAAAACAATGAGATAGTTGTCATAAACAAAGCCTTAAAAAAATAAGAATCAGAAACAACAAAGCACTTTATAGCCAGCCCAAATTTAGGGTTTCTTGAGCACAGCTACAACTTTTTAGAAAGTTTTTTTTTTTTTTTTGGACATTTAGGCCATTTAAGGCAAACTCACACACACAACGCATACACATGGACTCGAACCTTGGACCTCTTAGTTGGAAGCCTAAGCTCTCAACCAATAGGTCAAAGAGAGTTGTGTAAAGTTAATGTGAAAAAAAATAACTTAACAATTGTAATTGCAAGAAAATAGCATTTAAACACAAATTTCTAAAAGATAATAAGAAAATTAGAAAAATAATAATAACCAAATAAAATTATAATTGCTGTTTGAAAAGTAAAGCAGCAAAAACACTGCCCCAAACATATCCCTTAATCTTCTTCCCTAATGCTATATTAGAGAAAGGAAATTGTCTTTACAAAAGAAACAGCCTATTAATAAAGATGTATAGTCCAAGGAAAAAAAAAAAAGAGAAGTAATATAATCACATACCTAATACATCCAAAAACACCCTAAAAAATAAAAAATAAATCCATCCAAGAAAACCTTACTTTCAGCTTAATACTTTTCAGAACGCAAAAACAAACCAAAAAAGCTTTAAGCTTTACGTTGTATGGAAACAGGACGGCTTTTTTACTGCTTCTTGAAGCAGCTTTCTAGTACAAAAATTTTAATTTTTATACTAAAAAATTGCTTCAAGAAGCAATAAAAAAGCCGTTCCCAACGAAGCCTAAGATGGAAAATCAATCAACTTATTTTCCATATGAATACAAAGCCAATAAAAAATCTCATCATCTGAAACCGTCATCCATATTCAACAACAATTGCAGGCTAAAAACACAACCAATGGTAACTACTACACTATAGAAGGTTTAAAAGGTGTCAAAATGGGGAGAGAATGAACACCACTGACCAGTCACAGATGATGTTAGAAGCAGAAAAAGAATCATTAGATGACAACACAAAACCAAAACCAGTTAATCACTTACTAAAAGCAGCTTTCCAGAAAGTTTGAACGCTGAGTATTGCCATCTTAACATAGGACATTTACTAGAAGCATGGCAAAAAAGAGTAAGCCATAGTTAATTAAACTCTGTGATGCCCCTGATGGAGCCGCCGGTGGCAAAGCAATGCCGCCGTTCGATGAAGGCCGTACGGAGACAGCGGGGAGCGGAGGCTCTGTAACATCTGCAGAATCAAGGATTGGCATCGGGGCCAAGGCCGGCGGCAAAGTGGCAACCAATCCCAGCAGCTGACCACCTTTGACAGGCTTTGCGTAGTTGGGCTGGTTATCACCAAGCTTTAAGCAGGAGTTCCCTGAAAAACAGGAATGGGGCATAAAAGAATAAGTAGTATGACAAGTAGTCATATATGATATATGTGTTAAATAAAGTTAACTTATGCACTACCTATGATGCACCGACACTTCTCCTGAAAAAGACGTGCAGTGCCTGACACTATCCGACACGACACGCGTCCAACACTAACACGTGTCAAACACGTTGAAAATGTGTCCGATTAAAAAAATATTAAATACAAATTGGACAAGCGTGTCTTAAATATTTTATGAAATTTTTAAATATAATTTCTTGTATTTAAAAGTTTTACTTATTTAAAATATAAAAATTAAATTTCTTATTTCCTATTCACAACACCAAATCAATTGCCCGCACTTAATACCCCATTCATCGAATATTCTCATTTTCATTTCTTTTTTCCTGTGAAGGTAGTTTCATCTCCTCTCTCAATGACTGATAAACGACATCGACGCCCGACTCTCGACATCTTAATATTAATCATTTTAAACACAAATTCTAGTTAAATGAATTATTTTTTCTAAATTATTTTTAAAATTATACTTATTTAATTTTAATACACAATTTTTAAAATATAAAAACTATAATATTGTGTCCAACCCGTGTCCGTGTCCTATATTTTCAATAATTGACATGTCGCGTGTCCGTGTTGCCGTGTCCGTGTCTGTGCATCATATTGCACTACCAAATGTGTAATAAGCTAGGGAAAAATGGAACTACATACTCCTGTATCTTGTGGCAGTTCCTGGATAGTCGGTGATGATACCATCAATCCCAATCAACTGGACATAGGAGTTTATCTCAACATTTGGATCTGAAAAGAAGTCCCATGGCTGATAAACGTATTCATTTCTGAATAAATATACATAGACGGCGAGGCCAGCAGACTGTAATGTCTTGACCAGTTCAGTCTGGTCTGTAACGAATAGCAGGCTTGAAGGATATACAGATTGCTTGCTGATTGCAACAGCAGAAGCAAAGAGTTTAATATCTGACAATGATGATTTATCTACATCACTGATAGATTCATCGAGCTTGTATACGAGAGTGTAATTTGTCTGCTGCTTGAATTTGATCAGAACAGAACTGTTTGTGGACTGAATCATAACCTGCTTAGTAGTTTGATTGTTGTATCCTGAATCTTTCAAGGCGTCGATAACTGCATCGGTTACACTGTAGCCTATGTCCTCAGCGTAAAAGGCTGCATTCTGAAATAACAGAAAATAAGGATTTAATAACTATATGAAAGCAGTGAGAATTTGAACGTTTGATGGTAGTACTACAAGAACAGCCCTGGAATTATACGATGAATTATTCTGTGCGGACGCCGAACGTCATCCAGAGCCCAATGAAAATGCACCACATCACCCCCTACTCGGTACCACGGCTCAGTACTGGATGATGTGGATGCACCTGATTCACCTCTGAACGGTAAATTGTGTCCGGTGTCTGCACAGAATAATGTCTCCAGTGCTACTCCTCTAAAACCGCTTAGAAATATATAAGAAGAAAGTTCTCACCTCAACTTCTATCAAGATTCCAGCTAGTGACTTGCTCTTTGCAAACGTCAAAAAGTCAGATAGCTTCATGAAACTTCCAGAATTTTTATTCCGTGGATTTCGTGATAATCTGTACGACAATTCTGGGTTTGATATTGCAGCTGCAACCAACAAAGATGGGATTATTGCAAAGAATATTACTCAATATTGAGCCTATCACAGTATTCTCAAAGAAAAAAACATCTAAAATGGCGCCCAGAAGTGAAAGCAGCTAACCGTCACTAGGCTAGATCCAAGAAATAGTGTTAGGCAAAAAATTTCTTCTCGATACTACTTGTTTATGTCAGTAATAACTAATACAACAATATCAACAACATCAAGCCTTTGTCCCACTACGTAGGGTCGGCTACATGAATCCTTTTTCGCCATTGTGTCCTGTTAAAAATCAAATTCTCATTTAAATCTAATAAAGAAATATCATTTCTAATATTTTCTAACCAAGTCTTTTTAGGTCTACCTCTACCTTTCTTAACATAAGTCAAATCTAATACCTCTACTTTCCTAACCGGGTCATCAGAAGGCCTCCGTTTAATGTGACCAAACCATCTAAGGAGACTCTCTCTAATCTTATCTTCCATTGGAGCTACTCCAACCTTTTCACGTATATGCTCATTTCGTATCCTATCTCTAAGGGTAAAGCCACTCATCCACCTAAGCATCCTTATCTCTGCAACACTTAAGTTAGTATTTCCCTTCTTTTTCTATGAGAAGTAAACAAGAAAAGTTCCACTTACGCTTCAGTTTTTTTTTTATTTCTTCCCAGGTAAGGTTGAATGTAAAAATTCCAGGAGCGTTCTGAATAGCTGGAACAACAGAAGTACGAGATTGCAATTTGGAAGTTACTGCATTAGTAACGTCCATAAGATTGATAGAACTCATACAAATTGGAATTCCATCTTGTGTCAGTTGAACAGGACAATCAATGAAATCTGCACCATCTTCAAAAGCCTGCTGATAAGCCAAATCAGTACAATCAGGATAAACACCACTAGCTCCATTGTGAGATATGACAACAGGATTTCCTAGAGAAATGAAAACAAGAAAAATCAGTTCAAAGTGTCAAGAAGTATATGAAACTTTGTCAAAAAGATTCATCCATGAAGACCCCAAAGAGCGTACCCATACCATTAATTTCTTAATGAGCTTCCCCCAGTAGCGTTGTTTTCCTCGAGGTTCAAGTACCTCGGGGATACTCGCTAGGGTATGGGTAACAGGGCTCCTCTTTTGTATGCAATCATGTTCAAAACTTCAACATTAATGATAAGGGGTAAGTGTAAGCTTACCAAGACCGGAGTTATTTTTGCTTAAATGAGAATAACAACCTGCAATAAATGCCATATACATCACTAAATTAATGAATTGTAAACCTCTAGGAAATGGAACAAAATATGAAAACATGTAACTTTTTATGACTTGCATGTCAAACTTGCATATGAACTCATGCAATACTTTGTAGAAAAGAATGGATAAAGAGGATTCATAAAACTGACCATAATTACTATAAGGCTAAGGTTTCGTTTGGGACGATTTTCTTACTGCTTCTTAAAGCAGCTTTTTAGTGCAAAAAATTTAATTTTTCTACTAGAAAGTTGTTTTAAGAAACAATAAGAAAGCCGTCCCAAACGAAGCCTAAAAATGATGAAGGTGATGATGTTACAAATGAACTAGAAGGACATGGATGGGGCAAAGGAGGTTGACATAGTTGTGAACTAGAGGCAATGGACTTAAATCAAATAAACCTATCATCAACATAGAGGCAAGAAAGTATGCTTGAAATTTTCCTCAAATGAAGCATTGACAAGAGAATCATGTACAGTATACACCATTTTTATATTTTATCATCATTAGCAGCCGCCATGTACTGTATACACAATTTTAATATTATATTCATCAACAGCAGCTGCCTCTTCTTATCCCAAATATTTAAAGTCAACTTTTTTATGTTAAATATGAACTAAAAATTTTCATTACATCATAAACAATACAGCTGGGATTTAACTTTTAATTAATAAAAATAAAAAATTGGCCAAAGCTGAACAAGAAAACATTACCTATGGCTGCGGAAGCAGTAACGGGGAAGTCAGTGAGCACACCATCCACAGAGAAGTCCCCATTGTCAACAAATGAAAGAACCTCAGCTAACGGATCATAGCTGTAATTATAGCTCAAGAGTGCATCATTAGCGAAGTTGGAAGCATAAACCTCAAGCCCTTCCTTGTGTGCATCAGAAACAATGGATGAATGAGGTTGCAAGTAAAGATCAGATGTCACAGGCCAAATGTATTGCTTGGGAATAAGAATCCCAGAGGAAAATGTTCTAATGAATGTCAAATTTTTTAAAAGAGAACCATATGTTTGGTTTGTAGAGGGTTCATGAATGTCCTCCTCAAGAAGGCGAAAGAAAAGCTTCGTCTTAGTTCTCTTAAATCGAGATGCTATGCTGCTAAGAAATGCAACTTCTGGTGATGAAATGTAGCTCACTTGAACACTTTTTGACAGAGAAAGAATATAATTCCTCATACTCAAGTTGTGCTCCCTGTAGAAGGTATCATGCTGCATAATAAGAAAAAATGTAGATTAGTAGTTGGTACTTTGGTTCACAAAGAAGGAGAACATCCAAGCATACGAAATAAAATACTTAAATGGGGTTGGTGTACCTGTACATTCAACCAAAGAGCACTTGGCTTAACTAAACCATCCACATCTTGAGGAGCAAGGATAGGGAATGAGAGACCGTCAAATCTATCAGATCGGGATAGAATTCCTTGAATCACTGCAATTTTTAAAGAAACTTGAGAAGAGAGTGAAAACTTAAAATCATTTATACTTTTATAGATGTTAACACACATAGACAACATTTATTACTCAAGTTGAAAGAAAAATGACTACAGACACTAAATTTACTTCTCTAAAACTTAAAAGAAAGAAATCAAATTTACAAAATATATGAAGGCATCAAACAATTGAACTAACAAGGAGATTTTGATGATAGGATGTCCAAAGGTCTATGTCAAAAGTATTTTTAAGTTAGTAAATAAAGTTATGCTGGCGCGGAAAAAAAATTTAATACTGCCAATTGACCAAAATATTTTCTATCAAAATAGGGTTAAAAAAAGGCTCAACATATACAGAGAAGATGTATGCCCACACACAAAGGATTATTTGCCTAAAAAAATGCGCTTTTAAAACATAATAAAAATTGAATACTACTAAGGCTTACAATTATTATAAAAAGCTACAAGACTTCAAAAAAGCATAATGACTCAAGCAAAAGCTATAACTTTTGATGATTTATCTAATGGCTTGGCACTAAAGAAGAAGATATGGACACATATAGAACATTTAAGGCCAAAGATAAAGGGTCTACAAACATTGATCACATTAGATGCATTAAAATTGAAGATTATATAATCAAGTTAAAAATGAAGAAATCAAAGAAAGATAAAATGCTACCTTGAGAAATAAATAAATGAGTGTTGGATCTAAAATTGTCCATGGGTGACATCTGACCTTATTTGTCCATGGATGGCATTTGACCTTATTTGTTCATGGGTGGCATCTGACCTTACTAATAAATTTGGCTAGTCAGAGCAAGAGAATAGGGTGAGATAATCAATTAGTAGGGAGAGTATATGAGAAAGCAAGAGAACTCCGTGAATAGCAAAATAACATAAAATCTTAAATATGCCTCTTAACCACTTATTTATAGGATTCAAATGATTGTAGGAAAGGCTACCCCTAATAAAATAGAAAGAATAATACATGAAATGACAAGTATAGACTAACGCAAACATATGGGTTAGGCTGAAAGGTGTACATGTGGCCCTTTGTCTCTTACATGACTTGGAAAAACCACTAACAAGTACCTTGGGGAAAGTCTCGGGGGTCAATTGCCTTGGGTGAGCCTTCAGGTCCGGCAAGCCTGTGAAGGTGAGTCTCCTGGACATATGTGATTATGAGTAAGAGACAAAAAATAGTGAACGGAATCATGACCGTACGCTCCATAGGTGTGGGCCTTCTGTAGCTTGGATTGGGAAATCCACAAAAGGCGAAGGCCTTGGCTAAGGAAAACAGCTGAGTGGATCGAATCCTCTTGAGCCCAGTGCCCCTTATGATGAAGGCTAGTTGAGGTGAGTCCACTGGATGAACTTGTCGAGAATAAGAACATCCATGATCTAATACTCCAATGGCAAGCTCCACTATGACGAATATCTGCTTTCCCATAAGTTAGTTTTGGCTACTACCCCTTAGGGAAAGGCTCCAGCAAGCGTTGCTTTGAGCAAATGTTGCGGGCCTTAGAGTAGTAGCTTGCATGTGTCATTGTTGAGTTTGAGGAAGGGAGGAGGATAGAGGCCCTGGAGAAGGTGAGCTTTGCAAGTATGAGGCTATTGTGTTGTACAAGGAGGTACCGAGCCTGAGAGTTAAGATGTTAGCAACACTTTTGGAGTTGTCGTAGTCCAACAAGTTTCTTGCAGAAGGTGACTTCATCATTCACCATTTAGTAGAAAAGCACCATTTGATGTCCTTTTGGACCATCTATATAAGTCAATCCCAGGGAGCAAGAGAAACTTACCAAAATGTAATAAAACTTCTAAAAGCAATACAATATTCTATATTTCATGTACTATTTATTTGTGCTTGCGGCTTACATTTTTTGGTATTTACTTTGCTTTTCATATTTCATCTATGGTGACTCTTCGTTGTTCAGTTATGACAAATCTTTACCTCATTATCTAAGAGCGGCTCTTCTATTTCTATTCGAGGGCGAAATTTTGTCGAGAGTGAGAGGAATTTTTTGTAATGATTTGAGAGAGAGACGAGAATTGGTTCATCAATGATGGATGTGACTCGGGTCTCAAAATTAGAATTTAGAACCTCTAATTTTATTATAAATATGTCTCACCCTTTGGATAGGTCACCTTCTCATCATTTTTTTAATGACATTCTTTCAATGCATTATCCTTCCTTTCACTGGCACCTACATTCCCTTACGAGATGATGGCTATTAGGAGATGTCACAAGACTTTCAATGAGCTCGAGTACTACCAAGTCTCCTTGGTGATTGAGGTGATGAATATTGCTATAAAGACTCTAATATGATAGTTCAAGTTCCACGAAGGACGATCGCCTTAACAAGTTGTATAAAGATGAGACATGCTTCTCTTTTGAACAAATAAAACTTGTCTTGTGGTTTCCTCTTTCCCCATGACTCATTAAGATCCAAAACTTTTATGGGCTCGTGCAAGTGCAGATCATGTTGAACCAAATAACGAATGTGATGATATTCTTCTCTAATTTGTGACAAGACAAGATTAAGTGAGTCTCATCTTGTTCCGCCAATATCTTCGTAGTTAAGGCATTTAAGGATGGAAGCATTCAATTATCCTTTATTCAATTATTCATATGAGGATGAGTGTTGTGGCGAATAAGGTGAGAGATCAAAAATCAAAGTTTATACTTGCGAAGTCACAAATTGGTTGGGTGGTTCCCACCCACCCCATTCTTCATCAAAGACAAGACTATCGTCCTCGAGCTCAATTAGTCTCGAGCCTTTGATATCTTAAACGGAAGGGTCCTCGTTCATGAGCATGTGAATCTAAGAGCTATGTATAACATATGCTATAGTAAGCAGCTCACCTCTTTGACTTGTGAATCTTTTTTAGTTTTTTTTCTTTTTCTTTTTGATTCATGTAAACTTACCCCGCAAGCCCTTTGTGCAGGAGTCCCTTGGCACAGGCTTTCTTAGTTAAGAGATAGAAAAGAAGAGGAACGCAAAGAAAATGAAGCCTTTGACGAGTTCCACCTAAATTGTGCCCCAAACTAAGTTGGTGATTTATGCTCGCCCTCTTATATAGGAAGTTCCCCTCCACACTACTTCTTAGTCACCCGTCAGCCAAGATCCAACTGAATTTCAAGCGACGTTGAGTGAGCTCACATTTGGAAGCAAGTGAGAAAGAAGATTAACTATGAAGACCATCGAGACTCCTTTTTGTTGTTCAATTGGTTTCATGTCAAGAAGATTGACTATAGAAGTGATTTTTTCTAAAATAATAAATAGACAAGTATAGAAGCAAGAAATGATATTCATATGATTTTTATTGTTTTTATTTGATCATGAAAAGACATAATTGAGTACAACAAGAATTGATTTTGGTGTATAAATGCATAATGGTGTGATCTAAAGGTAAATTCACATTATCAAATAAATGTATTATGGAGAATTAACTGGAATTAAAAATAATTGTGGAGTGTTAGAAGAGTTTTAATTATAGAAGGTTTAATTAAAGATCAATATTGAGTCCATGCCTTTTATATTAGTTCTAAAGATAAGTATAGAAGCAAGAAATGAATATATGATATAGTCCAAGGCACTTTTATATTAGTGAAGTGCCTGGGAGTAATTTTTTTTTAATAATTTAATTCTAATTTATGAAGCATGATGAAAATAAGTAAGCAATTAGAATATTGACGAAGATTATTTAGACGATAATGTATTTAGAATTAATATAATAAAGATTGAATATATGATATATAATTTTAGTGGGTGGGTCATTAATAAATATAATTCAATATTAGTAAGACATAAAATCACAAATAAATATAACAACAACAACAACAACAATAACATCAAGCCTTTATCCCACTATGTGGGACCGGCTACATGAATCTTTTTTCTCCATTGTATTTTGTTAAGAGTCAATTTTTTATTTAAATGTAATAAAGATAGGTTAAAAACAACAACTACAACATCAAGCCTTTATCCCACTGTGGGGTCGACTACATGAATCATTTTTTCTCTATTGTGCCATGTTAAGAGTTAAATTTTCATTTAAATCTAATAAAGAAATGTCATTTCTAATATTTTCAAACCAAATCTTTTTAGGTCTGACTCTACCTTTCATAGCATAAGTTAAATCTAATAAATCTACTTTCCTAGCAGGGTCATCAGAAGGCCGTTGTTTTTTGTGGCCAAACCATCTAAGGCGACTCTCTCTAATCTTATCTTTTTCAAGAGCTACTCCAACCTATTCATGCATATACTCATTTTGTATCTTGTCTTTAAGAGTAAAGTCACTCATCCACATAAGCATCCTATTCTTTGCAACACTTAACTTAATATTATGCTTCTCTTTTAATGGCCAACATTCTGCACCATAAAGCATTGCATGTCTCACCACAATCTTATAGAATTTTTCCTTAAGTTTGAGAGGGACTTTTCTATCACACAACAAGCCCGATACATTCCTCCACTTCAAACATCCAACTTGAATTATGCTAATAATATCCCCATATATTTCACCATCACTCAGAACAATAGATCGAAGATATCTAAAATGTGTACTCTTATTAATCCAAAGTCACAATCCCCCCACTAGATCTACTACTACTAAAATTACACTCCATATATTCAGTTTTAGATCAATTCAAACGAAAACCTTTAGAGACCTACATACTTCAAATTTACCTTCAACTCCCTCTTTAGTCTCATCAACAAGAAGAAGATCATCAGCAAAAAGCATACAAGAAGGTACAACCTCTTGCAGATGTCTAGTGAGAACACCCATGACTAAAGAAAAAGATATGGGCTTAAGGCTAATACTTTATGAAATCCAACATAAATAGGAAAATACTTGCTCAACCCACCTCGTGTTTGAACACAAGTAACAACTCCTGCATATATCCTTAATGACTTAAATATAAGCATTATTAACCCCCTTCTTTTCTAGAACTCTTCATAGCACTTCTCTTCGAAATATATTTTTATACTTTCTCTAAATCAATAAATATCATATGTAGATCACCCTTATTCTCTCTATATTTTTCCATCAAACCTCTCAATAAATGTAGAGCTTCCATAGCAAACCTACTCGACATGAATCCAAATTGATTTTGAGAAACATTAGTATCACGCCGCAACATATGCTCCATAACTCTCTCCCATAGTTTTAAAGTATGACACATTAACTTTATTCCTTTATAATTCGCACAATCTTGCGCATCACCTTTATTCTTAAAAATAGGAATCAACAAACTCATTTTACACTCATCTGGCATATTTTTAGTCTTCAAAATAATATTAAAAAGTTTAGTAAGCCAAGAAATTCGTTCATCTCCTAAGCATTTTCACATCTTTATTGGAATATCATCATATCCAACAGCTTTTCCACACTTCATTTTTTTTTAAAGTCTCTCTAACTTCGATTTTACTAATACGCCGATAAAGAAATGCCATTTCTAATAAAGAAATGTCATTTCTAATATATTCTAACCAATTCTTTTTAGGTCTACCTCTACCTAAAAAGACTTGATTAGGAAATATTAGAAATGACCGTTCTTTCTAAGATTTAAATGAGAATTTGACTCTTAACAGGACGCAATGGATAAAAAGAATTCATGTAGCTAGATGCAGGACAAAATTAGAAAGTATGAATCAAAGTATAAATAAAAAACAAATATGATAGATTTAAATATTTTGGATTTGTTATACACAAGAATGAAAACATAGTTAATGATATAACTTCTAAAGTTAATATTGGATGATTAAAAGGATAACATCTTTGGAATTTTATGCTAAAAGAGGATAACACGGATATTTGAAAATAAATTTTATAAAATTATAATTAGATCGATGATGTTATATGAACTTGAATAATAGGCTAAAAATGAGGATTCATAAACTAGAACCCAAATAGTTGGGATGCGGCTAATGATGATAATCATAATTAATTATGGATGTTAGCAAAAAATACTCAAACAAAGAACTTAGTGTATGATATATAAATATAAGATAATATTAATAATTGAGAAATCTTTGGAGGAGATTGCAAAATTAAAAAAGAAGGAAACAGCTAAGGTTAAGGGGCAAATCTTTGAGTTTTATCTGACAAAGATATGCAAGCCTATAGATCAAACATGCAAGTCATACATATTGAGATGAGCAAATAAATGTTATCAGCATCTAGTTTAGTTAGATTTTTGGAAAGAAGATTGCATAGTTATTATTGTTAGGCCTTAAGATTTTGAAAAATAAATATCCTAATAATAAACTAACATATGGGCAAACACCATTTATGGCTCAAGTAACAAAATAGCTCCAACAATGTAAGCATCATTTAATTCCTAAATTGAAAGTGTGCTAACTTTCATCCCTTTTTTTCTTCTCTCATATTAGAAAAATATTTTATACAAGTGCTGTTTTTCATTGCAATACCCAATCAAGAATTGCAGGCTTTCCATTTCCCTTTCTCACCGGTCCAGTCACAATGCACATGAGAAATAGTCAGGGTTGACAAGTAAATTGAAGTTCATTCATTCCGTACAAGTAAAATAAGAATTTCATCATCATTGCAAGACATTGTTTTCATTGGCAGCTTAATTGCCGATTATATTCAAACAAAACAGACTTATGGAAGTGCTAGGGTTACTTACCAGAGATATTTGATAAGCTACGAGCATCATAATCCACAGAAAACCATCCCATTGTTGGCACACCATTGATAACGTAACTTTTCTTCCCATCAGGAAAGTATTGTGAAATGTTTGTACAGTTATCCAATTTAATATTAGGTAGACACAAACCGATACCATCCTTTGTCAATTGAACATCGCACCAAGATATTGTATCTGGAGAACCAGTTATTTTAGTAAACTTGTAGGCATAATCACTGGAATCAGGGAAAAGTCCGGAAAAACCACCCTTGGCAACAACTGCTGGGACATCACCTGTGGAAACAAATGCAAATTAGCCAATAAGCAGAGAATATTTATTTGCAACATCAACTTCGTAGAACCGCCCGCTTAAGTAAAACTCTGCAGTCTGCACCACACTTCATCATATGTGCATGTAAAGACCATGGACAAACTTTTTTTCCATTAATATTCCAGTGAAGCGTGCTACATTATGTGCAAATGGCACTATTCGCATTTATTTCTAAGTATCTCACAATCACAAAATTTTATTCATATTCTAAATGTAGTTTTCTTGTACGGTTATTGAAAGCCTTCGATGCTGTTCACTGAGTCAAGATTTGAGAGCAAGGTTGCTAAGTGCTAACACATGGATTTTCTCTAAACTGCAATGTCTGATATTTGTGAAGTTTTGATTAATGGAAAGGTTTAATTTCCAGAAATTCTATACTTAGGAGCCATACATGGATTTCTATCCAATTATTTTTTGCAAATAACGGACTACATTATCTTAACCCAATTTATGCATCGAGTTAATTGAATTTAATTTCAACTCAAATTTTGACTCAAGCTGACTTAATTTAATTAAATCAAGCCAATCGATTCAAATTGTTTAGATTGATTCATTCAATGTAGCCCCAAAACGGCTAAATCCGACTCAAATTAAACCCAAAACGGCTTTACTTAGCTCGTTCAGTTCAAGCCTTATCATGGCCTTGTAAGGCATTTCCAAATCAAACCCTAGGGTCAATCCACAACTGAAGATGCAAACGAAAGAAAAAGTAGCAGACCTCAGGCCCTCATACACCTTGTTTACCTCTTTCACAATATCTCCTAATGCAGACGTTGATCGCAAATTATCAGGGGCAATGAGGAGCATATCTCAGCCGTCAATCTGAAATGACATAGGGGCACAATCACATATCATTTTGTTCCTGGCACTTGAAGTCACAAGCTGGATTGATTGACAGAGTGGAGAGGTATTTGGCTGGGAGAAAAAGGAAGGAGAGTTTTTTACTTTTGAAGTTTTGATTTTTGGCCTTCCGATTTGAGAAACCCAAGAGATTGGGAGAGGCCAAAAGGGATGGTGATTTTCAAAGGGGTGAAAGTAGCATAAGCAACAATTCATTAGTTTAAGGATTTATGAGTGGAGAAGGTATTCCCAATAGTGTTCCTCCCATTTTTTCTCTTCTCAACTAAAGCCCTAGTTCCTTCTTCACCTGCGGTAGTTTCCAAAATCAAAGAGGAGCTCTTCTTTTTGCCGAACAAAGGAGCTTATCTCAGCCCTAGCTGAGTATATCCACTAGGACCTCTTTATCTTCCTCATTCATCAACTTCGGTGAATTGATGGTGGTGATGACATCCAAAACAATCTGAACAACAACATTTTTCGTTTCAACAGCTTTCGTCTCTACTAGATGAAAGTACTATAGTCATCGACCACTGAACATTGCTTCAGTGAAAAAACTTAAGAAATCTCACATGATTGTGTATGTGACGATACCCTTCAACTCTAGGTCCAATATCCATGATGATGTTGTTTAACCTATAACTCTGCTGTCTTCTACTTGTATGCAATATGAATGAAAATCCAATGACTTCCAATAGATGGCTCTTGTTTTAGAACCTAAGAGAGTGAAAAAGCATTGGGTTATCATATGCAGTTCAAATATTCACCCATGCATGAAATTTGCATTCATGGTAGATGTATTCATTCACCTGTGTTAAACCCTAGGTTCATATAGCCATTCAATTTCAATCAAGTGGCTATGCACCTTGTTTAAATCCAGACAAATTGCATTTGATTCCTATCAAAATCTAGATTATAACAAAATTAATCTAAGAATAAGGCATGTTTCTATTTAGTAGAATTTGGTCTTTTCTAAGTTATTTAGAAAATTATTAAAATAGTTTATGTTAGTTCTGTGTGGAATCTGATTGTGTTGATCAATCGGGTGTTACCAAGTGTTGTATGTGCGAGCGCCCCAATTTTATGTCTTAGCGCCCCGATGTTGTATGTCTGAGCGCATCAATGTTGTGTACTCGAGCAACTAGGCATTGGACAATTTTTTGCAAAAACAACAAAGGGTGGAACACCATAGAGCTCTATATTCGATGTTGCAGCACTGTCAAACGGACTAAATGACATAGGCGCGCTCCAAACTAGTACTGCAACATTGTGAGACTGGCTGAAAATTTTTTTCTTCTTATTTTTCATTAAGGGTTGCATCCCTTGGTGGTTTGTATCAGACATCTTTGTTTAATCTTGTGTAAGAATAGTGGAAGAGAGAAGAGAATCAAGGAGAGAGTTCAAGAGAAGAGATTTGTACTAATTCTCCCAATTTTTTTAATGTGGATTTCTTGGTGTGGTGTTGCTCCATAGTTTTTTCTCAGTTTCAGGGTTTTCCATGTTAAGTCCTAGTTTTCTTTTTTATTTTTTTGGTTTTTACCTCTTTTGTTTGTTTCGTTGCGGTGTTTTACTTCCCACCACCAACAACTGGTATCAGAGCTCTTCAGCTCGAGTGGGAGTAATAGCTAACAAAACAAGATACAAGATTGAGAAATTCAACGATTAGAACTTTCAACTTTGCATTCTGGAGGATGCAAATTGAAGATTTGCTGTATCAAAAGAAGATATATTTACCATTGAAAGGAGTCACTAAGAGGTCGGATTTTATGGCTATGGAGGAGTGGGAGGTTCTTGAACGGACTACCCTAGATTTGATACAACTTTCAATTTCCTCATTTGTTGCATTCAATATTGTAAATGAGAAGACTACAGTCGATCTCATGGCTGCACTAACTAAGATCTATGAGAAGTTTTTGGCCTCAAACAAAGTGTTTTTGATGAAAAAGTTATTCAACATGAATATGTTGGACATAGGGGTGTAAGTGAGCCGAGCCGGCTCGAGCTCGACTCAATTATGGGCTCGCGAGAGCTCGAGTTAGAGCTCGCTTTCCATGTAACGAGCCGAGCTCGATAAGGGTATAAACTCGACTCGACTCGACTCGTTTACACCCCTAGTTGGACAACATTTTAATGGGAGAACACCTGAATAATCTGAACACTGTGATGAGTCATATGTTCAACTGACATCAAGTTTGATGAAGAGGTGAAAGCGTTTATGCAATTATCTTCATTGCTAGAAAGCTGGGGTGGGCTTATTACTGTTGGGAGTAACTATTCAAAATATTCAAAGCTGAACTTTGAGAACATTATGGGGTTAGTGCTTAATGAAGAGGTTTATAGGAGGTTGAACGGTGAATCTTCAAATTCTACTTTGAATGTTGAAGCAATAGGAATGGGTTTAGAGAGAAATTCAAGTAGAAGAAGATTTAAATTCAAGAGACGAAAGTATACTTCAAGTAGAGGAGAAGTTGTTTACTGGAGCTATGGAAAGAATGTTTATTTAAAAAGGATTGTATAGTTCCAAAGAAGGCTAGTGGTTGATGTCAGGACAAAAATTACTCTGCAAATGTATATGCAAAAGAGTTTCAGTCAGATTCTCTTATTTTATCTCTGGATAATTCTGAATATTAATTTATAAATTCAGGTGTTTCATTTCAAGCAAGCCCTAACAATAAGGCATTCAAAAACTACACTCAAGGTGATTTGGATAAAATGTATATGGGAGACAACAAGCCCTGCAACATTGTTGGACAGGGACATGATGATATCAGAATGCCATATGAGTAACTTGGAGACTCAAGGATGCTAGACATGTTCCTTGTCTAAAGAGGAGTTAGTTTTTATGAGTCAACTTGAAAACTTGAGCCATGTAACATCGTTCACAGGAGATTCATAGAAAGTGACAAAAGGACCTATAGTTACAACTCGTGGTAGTATTGAAGGAACCCTGTATGTTATAAAAAAAAGATCATATCCTATTGGAGTTGTAGATTCAAATATTGATGAAGATTTTTGGCATCGAAGGCTTGGTCATATGAGAAAGAAATATATGAATTCACTTTCTACTAGCAAAAAACTTCCTGGTTTAAAATCAATAAATTTAAATTTTGTGAAGACTGTGTAGAATCTGATTGTGTTGATCAATCGGGTCTTAACTGGTTTTGTGTCTAAGCGTCCCGGTTTGGTATACCCGAGCGCTTCAATGTTGAGTACCCAAGCGCCTAGGCACTGAACAATTTTCTACAAAATCAATAAAGGGCGGAGCGCCACAACGCTCAATATTCGGTGCAACGCTATTAGACAGACTGAAATACAAAGTTAGAGCGTTGCAGCGCTTCAAACTGACATTGCAGCGCTACGAGATGGGATGACAGTTTTCTTTCTCATTTTTCATTAAGGATGACATCCCTTGGGGGTTTGTATCGAATCTCTTTGTTTGTTCTTGTGTAAGAATGATGGAAGAGAGAAGAGAAACAATACAAGAGTACGAGATAAAAGAGATCTATACTAATTCTCCCAAATTTTCATATTAAATTTCTGTGTAGTGTTGCTCCGTGATTTTTTCCCGATTTAGAGTTTTTTCACATTAAATCATGATGTTTATTTTATTTTCACTGCTTTTATCTATCTTTTTTTTGTTTCCCTGCAGTGTATTACTTCCCACCCCCAACATCCTATTCCAAAAATTATGAAATTCGTGTATAATATTCCATAGGCTTTCAAAAGTCTAAGAGCAAGATTTCATGATGTTTGGAAGGGCATTTGCCATGCTTTTGAAATGTTAAATATAAACGAATAATTTTATTAATTATACTACTTTGAAATTTCACAAGTAATTAAATAAAATTACTAAGAAATGCTGTATTAACATCTTTGTACTTCTAAAATTAATAGATCCTGCCAAAATTGATCTCATTCAATTTCCTAAGTCATGAGTGTGTCCTATCTTTATCAAATTCATAACGTTTTAAGAAATAAAGGAGTTTTTATCTTATCATGGATGTTGTTTTGAAGCTTCCTAAAGCTTTAAATAATTCATTCCATGAATTCTAGAATCCACTTGGAGTTGGCTTATCTTTAGACAAAGCTCAAGGTCATATTGATTCAATTTAAATCAAACTCAACT